CTCTCTCTCTCTCTCTCTCTCTCTCTCTCTCTCTACTCTCTAAATGGTTTTTTTAATGGATTTTCATTATAAAAAAAATATTTATTTATTTATTTAATCCACATGTCACGATGTGATTGTACATGTGGGCTCCACTTATCTTCCACATCATATACTTAACAGAATTTTTGACGGCAATGACCATTTGTGATAAAAAGTCCAAACGTTAAGGACTATTAGTGTCACAAAAAAACCTCAAGGACCATTCGTGATAATTTCGTAAACGTCAAGGACCATTCGTGATAAAAAGCCTTATGATAATTTGGGTTTATTAGAATGGCACAGTGACTATTTTGGAGGGCACTGAAAAATTTCTTACAACAATTTCAAATATAATATAATTTTATTGATAGGATGATATGAAAATGCTCGTGTAAAGCGAGACATTACACCCATGACAAATTAGTAAAAATAAAAACCATAACCAAATCCTTTGGATTCTATCTATATCACCGACTTTAAGAATATAATATCAGATTCTTGAACCATTTTCTCATACCCTTTTGTTTGTTTTTCTATAATAAACATTCACCTACTTCCCAAATTGCCTTGCCTTATAAGCACTGTCTTCCCCCATTCTCAAACTTTCTTCTTTCTCCTCCTCTCCTCTCTTTGCTTCCCAACCTCATCCAGAGTACAATAGCAGAATATATGTCCAGAGACAGGTACCTATTTTTCTCGAAAGGATTGTTAAAGATGGTGGAAAAAGATATAATTTCTCTTTTTTTCTTTTTTCTTTTTAATTTTTGTGTAGTTTTTTTTTTTCCACCTGACTAATTTTAATTTCTTGTTGTTTTCTAGGGACATCATAACATTGGATGAGATAGGAAAGAAGATCAGGAGGGAAAGTGATCCATCTGGTGATGATCAAATGGGAACCATGAGCACTGCTCGACATAATAATTCCTTTGGTCTTCCTCAAGGGATGATGATGATGAACAGCACAACCTTGAACACAATCACACCTTGTGCTGCATGTAAGCTCTTGAGAAGAAGATGTGCTGAAGAATGCCCTTTCTCTCCCTACTTCTCCCCTCATGAGCCCCAAAAGTTTTCAGCTGTCCACAAAGTCTTTGGTGCAAGCAATGTTTCCAAGATGCTAATTGTACTATTTATCTCCACTAATTATTTATTAATTACTTTGATTTACCATACACCATAATTAATTTCATCATGTTTTTGTTTTAATTATGTAGGAGGTGGCTGAGAACCAAAGAGCTGATGCAGCCAATAGCCTTGTTTATGAGGCAAACCTGAGGCTTAGAGACCCAGTGTATGGGTGCATGGGTGTAATTTCAACCTTGCAGCAACAGATTCAATCTCTCCAACAAGAACTTAATGCAGTAAGGACTGAAATCTTGAGATACCAATATAAAGAGGCCACTAATCACATGGTTTCTTCTACGAATATTATGCACCGCCATCCTTCTTTGGTTTCTACTTCTGGGATGGTGTCCATTGCTGGACCACCACAAGCAATTCCAACGCCGCCGCCGCCGCCACCACGGCCCTCTTCAGTTGTGTTTTCTTCGTCTTCTTCGTCTTCGGCTTCTTCTTTGTACAATCCGTCTACGACCACCACAGGTTATAGCTCCATGTCAAGCGACAATATTCCATATTTTGATTAAAATGCCATTTTCTTTGTTTAATTTCTGTTGATTTAGGAACTATCATGTTTGATAGAGTAGAAAATTAATTTAACTTATCTCTACATATGGGCTTGATACAGTTTCCTTTTCCTTATGATTGAGAATTCACATGAATATTTATTATAAAGAAACATAAACTCGGAGTCTAATTTCAACAATTTATTCCAAGTTTTATAAGTAATCTCTTTTTAATGCCTTAATTAACAAGGGTTTTTTTCTTCTTCTTCAAATGGGTTCATTTGCTATGAATATTTGGTCTAATTTCATGCTCATATCTTGTATTGTAATTTTCTCCATCTTATAGGGGCATTAACTGACAGACTATTCTTTAAATACAAAATAAATTTTGAAAGAATTTAAAGGTACAACAACAGATTGATAATAGATTGTGAAATCTGAAATGCAGTAGGTTGAAGCTAGACAAAAATGTTGAGACTGTGAATACATATCGGGAAATTAGTTCTTGCCTAATAATTTAAAAGATATTCTTGAGTCTCTTTATTTATTTTCAATTAGTTTTGAATTAAATACTCATTTTTTAATATAGTATAAGAGCAGACTATCTATATATTGAGCGCAACGACCCACATGCTCTCACATCGCCCGACCTATTTAGCTTGAGTTATGCCACGAAGATGTATTTTCCAATAGGGTTGGCAGGTGCTGACAATCTTGAAGTAGGGTTGGCACGTGTGAGGGGATTTGACTTTAGCTTTAATTTAGGTCTACATGGTACACATGCATCATGCTAATCTGTGCCAGTGAAGATGAACCTGAAACCTCATTAAACTAATTTCAGGCCGGGAGACAAAAGGTATAATCCCCATGTAAAGTTTGAAACTTTATTCGACCAAAATGTAGTTTGAAACTTTCTTCTTTACTGGTCTAGCTTTGATTTTTTATTTTATTTTTATTTTTATGGGGGCTCTGCTTTGCACATTTCTCTTCTAGAGATAATTATATATGCTTGATGCCGGGAGGTAAATATAGTGATCAATCTGTGCCAGACAAGGGTTATTTTTGACCCATTGGTGGTATATGGTGCAGACCAATTTGGTGACACAATCTCTGTAGATTTGACATGCCTTGGAGTTTTTCAAATTATTCTGCTAAACAAATACCTTGTGTTATTTGAATTTTTCTGGTCATCCACAAAATCAAGGAGACATAAGAGAGAGAGAGAGAGAGAGAGAGAGGCCTATATAATATGTATATGTGTATATGTCTCTTTCCCTTTGTAAGATTAGGGTGATGTATACCATATACTTAATTGACAATACATAACCCAGGCACATACATGATAATGCCTACACGTTCTAATTTTATTAGGACTTAAGTTTCCTTTGCGTGTGGAACTTAAACTAATATGGTGAGAGGCATAAAATAGGTCATATTATATATGCACCAAAAATTTGGGTGAAGACACATCAGATAGATTGCCAGAAGCTTAGCTATATCAAAGTTTGAATCCTCATTGTCGTTGATTAAATTACTTAAACTATGACTTATATTTAAAAATAAAATAAAAAACTACCTTCTTCCCATGTTCAAGCTAATTAAGCAACTAAATTATCACAGATTTAATAATAATAATAATAATAAATAATATAATCAGATTCACATTTTCTTCAACAGTGATTGAATAAATAATTGTTTTGACTGACATGTTGCACATTGACTCTTTCTAATTAGTTGGATGTGAACACCAATCTTGTGTGAGGCTTTCTAGATATTATAATTATAATTCAACATGATCAGTTTGGTGATTCGGCAAAGAAACATGTCAAATTGTCAATCAAACATTGCATTAATTGGGCTTTATTTGAAAATGAGAGGAGCTACTAATTGCTTGTAACAATTGAGAAAAACCATGCTGCACAAGTTTTACTCAGTCCACATGCATTCACAATTTCGTCCTGAAGACATGGGGCAGTTGGAAACAATTTATGCTAACAAGCTTTCACATGGCCTAATCGGAGGATTAAAATAAATTAAACCACTTTAGTAAACCCAAATTCCAAAACATTTTAATCAGCTTATCTGCGAGATTCTATAGTGAAGGTGTCATATATGGACTCCCCATGTGAACCTTCATATTAGTCACATGATTATTTCATTAAACCTAAGTAAAGTTACGATTCAGATGAATCATGTGACTAATATGAATATCTACATCTATAGTCATATGAGAATGACTTATCTTATATATGGTAATGGGTTGGAAAAAACAAGGCTGGCCTGATTCTTTTATGGGAGTTTCACTAAAACACCCAAAATGGGGGCTGAAATTATAAAAAAACCCAACACCCAAAACACTTTATAAACACACCAAAAATCCATCATTACACACACTCAAAACCCATTTATAAATACACCCAAAAAATATATAATTGTTGATTTTGGGGTTGATTTTGGGTGTGTTTCTATGTTTAAATAGTATTTGGGTTTTTTTATAAATACATGTCTAGGATTGGGTTTATTTATAAATTTGTATTCTTGTATCAGGATATTTGGACCTGACTCAGTCTATTGGGTTTTAACAAATCAATAGAATTGAGTTCAAGACCAATGGGCCAAATTTACTTTTATTTGTTCGATTTGAAACAAAATAAAACAACTTTCCATCAACAATTAATAGGTAAACAGCTTTAGCTAATATGAATTTCTTGAAATAAAAAACATGCTTTTATTCGTTGGAAGAATAAAAACCACCAGCTAATTAAATTCTCACTCGACTCAACAAACAATAACCTTATATCACACACAAAATAATATTTCTCCCAACTTCTGGGTGAAACCTCCAATTCTGGTTTATTCTTGTGACAGAGAAAGTACCTCCTTAGCTTAGCTAGTTAGTTAGACCTCCTACAGTTCAATCTAATCTCACCGTTGGATCCAGTGAGTGGCTTATTATTTCCCATCTTGATCATTGCCTTGGCAAAGTGAGAATTGAAGGTATTGGCACTGCCGCTGTACTTTTTAACCAATGAAGCTGTGGATCCACCATTGTTGTAGAGAACTTGGTCAGAGTGGAGGAGGCCCTTTTGGTTGATGAGGTTCTTGAAGTAAGCAATGTCAAAAGTGCCGGGAGTTTGGACGTCCAAAGGTGCAAGGTTGTTGTCTCCTGAGCCTACGGTAATTGGGCATTTGCTTTGCCTGGCCTTGGCAAATGATGCATCAATGTTGGTCTCGTTGTATATGCGATCTTTGAAAGATGAGCACCTTGCTTTCCCGATCGTGTGCGCTCCTGCCATCACGTAACATAACATGTCAAATTATCTGACAAAATTAACGTTTTTTTGTATACAAACGGTTTTTTTATTATATATAAATAAGAATCATAGGTCATCGAATGTAAACAAATGAAAAGTAAGGGGGTGCTGTGATTGTTACCAGATAGGGCTACCAAGTCCCTTTTATTGAGACCTACAGCTCGGAATGTAGTTTTCAGCTGGCTGAGGTTAGCAGTGGGAGCAGGGAGGGCTCCACTGTCGGCAGCAGTGAAGTTAGCTGTCTTGGAATCCCTTCTTCCAAGTTTAACCTTCCAACTTGGTCCTCCAAGCTGCAACAAAATAAAAAGCAAAGTTTTCAAGTGTTAATAGGATAAATTAATATCCCTAAAAAATATTGGATATTAACTGATTTGTTTAATTTAGCATAATTAGTATAATGTGTTTTTGTTGTGAAGTGTAAAATTAAGTGTAAAATTTGTAGGGAGATTCACTATTATACCAAATATAGGAGCCCAAATTTATAAAAAAAACCCTATATGAAATGGACTTTAGAAACACACCCAAAGTCTATTTACAACATAACAAAAAGGATTCTAATTACAAAACTGCCATTGATTTCTTAAAACAAACACAACCCCAAAACCTCATAAAAAAAAGCTCAAAACACTCAATAGGGCATCAAAGTAATTTAATAATCAAAATTAAATTTAATAGGGTCAGCTATTATTTTTTGGATTTGTTTATAGAAATTAAATGATGTAGGGTTTATATAGTTTTAGTGTTAAGAATGGGTATATGACTAAATATCTCAAATTGGTATTAGTTACTCACAATCTTAACGGAGTCTCGAGCAGCAATGGCTAAAATATCAGCACATGAAACGACGCCGTGACATATTTTTTCCAATTGGGACTTAATCTTATCCACAACCTCAAATCCCCTAAGAGAGTTATTATTGGGACCTGCAGTCTTCTCTCCTGTGAAGGAAGAAGTGTCGTCCAGCAGTAAAGACCCATCACAACCCTGGTTATGATCAATTAAACACCATAGGATTAGGTACGGGAAGGGAGATCGAACTCGCGTACAAAGAGAAGGTAAAAACACTATTTTAGCCAACTAACTTAACCCACAACTATTAATAGTTTTTAAGTTACTATTAAACACTAAGTATATAATTGTTTAAATATGAAGTTGTAAAGTCAACATGTACACGATGTTTACTAATTAAACACCAACATAATTTGAATAAAGAAACACTGAGATAATTAATTATTGGTATTAGGTAGGTTCATGCCCTCATGATGCTGAAAATATTTTACTGCCGTAAAGGGCGCCTTTGGGATTTCATCATCGAAGACTTGGACTTCGCCATATATGCATGTCTTCAACCTGCATGCGGCATATTTGAATTTTCGTAGGGAGAACATGGAAAAGTGAGGAGCACCATGTTTTTCTTTTTCATGCAAACAGACAGAAGTTCATGTAAGATCCCACATCGACCAACGGAGCGGGGGTAATGTGCCTTATATGTACACACCCGCATTCATCTAGCACGAGGCCTTTTGGGAGCTCACTGGCTTCGGAGTCATGGGAACTCCGAAGTTAAGCGAGTTGGGGGCTAGAGCAATCCCAGGATGGGTGACCCACTGGGAAGTTGCTCGCGAGCTCCCAGAAACAAAACCGTGAGGGTAGAGAGGGGGGCCCAAAGTGGACAATATCGTGCTACGGCGGAGCCGATCCGGGGTGTGACAATTTGGTATTAGAGCCACTCTGCCGTGTGGTGCGAGTGTGCTGACGAGGACATCGGGCCCTTAAGGGGGGTGGATTGTAAGATCCCACATCGACCAACGGAGAGGGGGTAATGTGCCTTATATGTACACACCCGCATCCACCTAGCA